ATTTTTTGTGGTCTCAAAGTGTGAAGATGTTCCGTTACAGTTGTGGCAAAGAAGACTACCTCACTAGAACTGGAGATGTTGTCCAACCAGCTACTACCGATCCTAAGTTCAAAATGTGGAAGGTAGAGAACAATCAGGTTGTGTCTTGGCTATTAAATTCCATAATACCAAATATAGGCGAGACATGTATGTTGTGTTCAATAGCAAAACGAAATTGGGGATGACATTCAAGAGTCCTTGTCCAAGGAAGATAATATTGCTGCATTGTTTCAGATTAAAAGGATATTGAAGGATCTAAAACAAGACGGTAAGGATGTCACAAATTATTACAACACTTTGCTCAAATATTACCAACAACTAGACTTGTATAAGACTCATGAATAGGCCAACACTGCTGATGTTGCACTAATAAAGAAGGATTAGATCTATAATTTTTTTCTAGGTTTAAATCCAATCTATGATTTGGCTAGAAGCTATATAATGGTTATTTGAAAGGTATTTTTAGAAATTAGATGGGAAGAGAGTAGACAACAAATCACCAACAATCTGCAGAAACTTGATCTCAATCCAAAAGTAAGTATATTTCTTGTTGGAAAATGTGCCTCCTTGAAAACAAGCCCTGAAGAAATGGAAAAGCTTGATGTGACCACTACTGCAAGTCTGGTCAAACTAAGGATGTATGCTAGAAGCTTTATGGTTATTAAGCCAATTGGAAACCAAGGTTAAGAACGAAACAACGCAAATTTGAGGCCTGTGCAGAAGAATCTCATCTAGGAAATTCAAGAGTTGGTATGTTCAACAAGGAGAAATTAGAGGTTAATCAAAAGATTATAACTACATGCAGTAAAGAAAAAGACATAGGTTATGGATTAGTGCCCTAATCAGGTGCCTTTTTAACAGCACTACACACCAATATTGGAAATTCTGAAACTTGGATATTTGACTTCGAGGCAACTAATCCTATGACGGGTGATTTCTCTCTTATCTCTAACTATACCCCTCAAAACTAAGCAAATTATGAAATAGCAGACAAAAGTTATGCTGACATAAAGGGAATTGGAACTATTATATTATCAAAGTATATAACTCTGAATGAAGTGTTGTTTGTTCTCAATTTGACCTCCAATTTTATCTCTATTGCTAAACTTATTAGAGATTTAAAGTGCATGGCACAATTTGACTCTAATGGTTGTGTGTTTCAGGATTTGGCATCGGGGAAGAGGATTGGCAATATTAGGATATATGTCGGCTGGCCATTATCACTTTCAATAACCCAAGAAGACTCATGAATGGAGCCTTACTTATGTGACCACCACTGGTAAACTATACCAACTTCTTTTATGACATTTTAGATTAGGATATCCAAATTTTCAATATATGAAAAGAATATACCTTGATTTATTCAATAAAAGTTTATTTTTTTCCTTTTTGAAAAATCTGTCAATTGTCCAAACATGTTAGAGTTTCCTATTCTCTTCAAGAATATCAATCATCTAAACCATTCTCTTTCAATCATAGTGAGTTTAGGGAATGACTAACTTTAAAAATATTAATAGTGCTAAGAGGATTGTCACTTTCATCGATGATCACACTAGAATAACTTAGGTGTACCTTTTGCAAGCCAAATATAAAGTCACAAGAACCCTCAAAAACTTCCATGTGTTGATCCAAAATCTATTTCAAACCAAAATTAAAGTCCTCAGATATGATAATACTCGTGACTACTTCAATGTGAACCTCACTACATACCTCCAAAGCCATGTGATACTTCCCTAAAGTTCATGTGTCAATACCCCACAACAGAATGCGGTAGCCGAAATGACTTAGGTGTACCTTTTGCAAGCCAAATATAAAGTCACAAGAACCTTCAAAAACTTTCATGTGTTGATCCAAAATCAATTTCAAACCAAAATTTAAGTCCTCAGATATGATAATACTTGTGATTATTTCAATGTGGACCTTACTACATACCTCCAACACCAAAGTTCATGTGTCAATAACCCACAACATAATACGGTAGCCAAAAGGAAAACTAGGCATCTTTTAGAAGTAGCCAGAACCCTAATTTTGGGTTTTATTTCACCCAAACACTATTCAAGGGGAAGTCAGTTTTACTACCATTTACCTCATCAACATGATGCCCTTAAGAGTCTTACAATTCATGTCACCCTATTAGCAACTCTTAAAATTACCTTATCAACATGATGTCCTCAAGAGTCTTACAATTTATGTCACTCTATTAACAACTCCTAAAAAACTACCCAAAAAGGCCACCTATAACCAACCTTCCTCCTAAGATATTTGGTTGCACTGCATTTGTTCATATTGCCACTAGAGGGAAATTTGATCCTAGACCCATTAAATGTATGTTCCTTAGATATTCCCCTACTAAAAAGGGTTACAAGTGTTATGCCCCCAGCACTACGCATACGTACATCACTATAGAAGTCACCTTTTCTGAACAACCACCCTTCCATTCCCAACTAAACATTCAGGGGAGACAATCACTGACATGAGTATTTCCGAAGGGTTGATTACTGACCTTCATTAACCGATAATTATTAGTTCCAAACATATCCTAGAACTTGTTTTCCATTGTTGACCAAAACAACCTTGATTTCATTTTAGAACAACCTAACAATATCACCAATGACGAGCCACAAAACATCATTATATACTCTGAAAGACAGAAGCGGCCAAATCTTGAAGTGCCAACACCTATAATTGCAAAAAGCATATTCCTACTCTTGACTAGTCCAGCCTTATACCAAGTTCTAAATTGGATATGGACCTACCAATTGCATTAAGGAAAGGGGTAAGGAGTTTTTAAACATGCCATAAGCAACTTTGTATCTTACAATAATTTGTGTATTAAGTTGCATGCTTTTGTTCATAATGTAAATAAGAAAATCATTCCAACCTCATTCAAAGAAGCAAGCAGACGAGAAGAGTGGAAAATGGCTATAAGAGAAGACCTAACATCCCTTCAAAAGAATTGCACTTAGAAAATTATTGATTTATGTGCTGGAAAAACCCTTGTAGGGTGAGAATGGGTTTTCACCATCAAATTTAATGAAGATGGCAATATTAACCATTACAAGGCTAGATTAGTGGCCAAAGATTCATAGAAACTCAGGGAATTGACTATTAAGAAACCTTTGATTTTGTTGGCAAGTTCAACACTATAAAAGTACTTTTATCAATTATAACTTGCTCAGGATGATCTCTTAGGAAAATGGACATGCCTTTTTGAATTGGGATCTAGAAGAAGTTTATATGGAGATTCCCCAAGGTATAGATCAAGGTCATAGGCCAAGGAAGGCATGTAAACTGCTCAAGGCACTTTATGATCTTAAGTAGTCATTGAGATCACGGTTTGACAAGTTTACCTCGGTTGTTAAATCCCAAGGGTAAAATTTGTGTCAAACAGACCACATCTTATTTGTTAAAGTAAGCCTGAGCTAGAAGATAACGACTTTAATTGTTTATGTTGATGATATTGTGATCAAAGGTGATTAGAATGAAGAAATTAACTGATTGAAAGGAACATTAGCTAAAGAATGTGAAGTCAAAGACCTGAGCAGGTTGAGGTATTTTTTTGGCATAGAGGTGGCAAGAACTAAAAAGGGCATCTCAATATTTGAAAGGAAATATACACTTGATCTCCTTGAGGAAACAGGTATGCTAGGCTGAAAACCTTCTGATACCCCAATGGAAGCAAACTACAAAGTTGGTCTCATTTAAGATAGTCCACCAATTGATACTATCAAGTACTAGCACCTTGTGGAAAAATTGATCTACCTAACTCACACTTGCCTTGACACAAGTTTCTCAGTTAGTGTTGTGAGTCAATTCATAAATAATCCAAATGAAGAGCACCTGAAAGCTGACAATCAAATCTTAAGATACCTAAAAATAACTCTAAGCAAAAGACTATATTTTAAGAAGAATACTCAATGAGATTTGACCATTTATACTGATGATGATTGGGTTGGGTCAGTAATTGACATACGATCCACCACTAGGTATTGCTCATTTGTTTGGTGAAATTTGGTTACTTGGAGAAGTAAAAAACAACCAATGGTTGCAAGAAGCAGTGCAAAAGGACCATTGGGAACATGTGAAGGTATTGGATCTTGAGATTGCTAAAGGAGTTGACTTTCAACCATGAAACTCCTATAATACTCCTTTGAGGTGACATGGCCACTATAGGGATAGTCAACAAGCTCATTCATCATGATAGAACCAAGCATGTTGAGGTTGACAGAAACTTTATTAAGGAGAAAATTTAAGCTAAGATCGTTGATGTGAACTATATCTCCTCTCACTCACAGATTGTTAACATATTCACCAAATCTCTTTCAAGGGTCAAATTCGAAGACTTGCTAGACATCTACCACTCAGTTTGAGGGGGAGTGTCGTTATCCCTTTCTTGATGTGCATGAGAGCGTCCCCTCATGGAGTGTTATTCTAGCTAATCAAGTAACAAAATTCTAAAATTCTGATTTAAGTTAATTTGTTATAAATTTCTGTTTTTTAGGAGTTTGGCCAACATTGATTAGTCTAGCTGATTAGATTCTTTTTGTTTCTCGTACTGATAATTTTTAGCAATTTGTTATCTTTTAGAATTATGGTGATTGATTTCTTATAATTTCATCCTATTATATATTCCATTCTATTATATATTTCCTTGTACCATTCATCGATTAATTCAATGAAAAAGAATGAATTATTCACCAACCCTAATATTTTATAACTGATAATCAGTGTTAAATCTAATCAAATAAATTTTCTATCAATAATTATTTGAATTATTTTGACCTAAGCACAATTCATAACCACTTAAATCACTATTAACTGTGATAAAAATACACCTATCTTTAAAAATATTTCTACATACATTTTAATAAATAATTTAAGTTCTTAAAAATAATGTTTTAGACTGTCCTTAATTAAAAAAATTCCCTTATACCAAACACAAAGTGATGTAGTGCCCCCAAGAATTCCTCATGGAGTTGACAAGTCCAGTGATACCAAGACGCCTTGAATGCAATATATTTGCAGAATAAACTACATACACCTTTGACATGTGATGAAGAATGTCACACATTACGTTGACAGACTAATGAAAAGTCCACCTATATATGCCTGGGCATTACATATATATATGTATATATGTATATCATAAAATGTAAACATCAGTTTTCTTTAAAGAATAAGGGAATAAAATTTAGATATGAGGTCCAAGAGGCATGCGACTCATAATTTCTTGATAAACTGATGAGCCACTAGGCAGATTAAGGCCACGTTCAGGAATAGGCTCCACATTTGGTTCTCCTTTTGGTAACATGAAACCCATTTCATTTGCAGGGCGTTGTTGTGCTGCAAAGTATGGATGAACAGGCATACCAGGAAGCTTTGCTTGCCCCGCGGCCGTGTGGCCCAATCCTGACAATGCCAGGTTTGACAGCATAGGTTGATTCATCCCAAAGGAGAAGCCATGGGAAGGTCCTAGCTGCTGCCTCCCAGGTATGTTGAATGATCCCATGGAAGGTCTCTCAAGCCTTCCTATGCCATTGTGGTGAACTTGAGATGGTTCAGGTCTATGAACATGGGTTTGAAGAATACCTGAGGCTTGGCCAGGAACATTGTTAGATATGTTAGCATTAACATGGCTGCTAGAACGAGCAGCAGGAACATCATGATTGTGCTTTCCCTCATATGTAGTGATCACAGATTTAAGGTCATGTGATGCTCTCTCCACATGCTTCCTTACTGTGCAGCCTGCATTAGTGCACTTGTAGTAACTCCTGCAGCAAAACATCAACAGGCCATCCTCAATTCAGCTTTGCAACATAAATATATTCTTCCCATATTGGGAATGTATCCTCTCCCATTTTAACAAGACCACGTTATGTGAAAAATCTCACTCATTCATTGCAAATCAACAGTCAGCAATTAAAATGACCATTTCTTCTTTTCCATTTTACGATATTTGTCATTAAAACTGCAAGTGTTGATTTATCAATGAATAACTTAGATTTCTCACATGACGTGGTTATGTTATGTTAAAATGAGACACGAGAGGATCCATTCTCATATTTCTATATCTTTTGTGCATATATAGTTCGCGCAAGTGTACAGAGAAAACAGGGATGACAAAACAACAGAACAGATAAGAGGAGAATGACCACCTTGGGTTGGGATTTCCTTTGACAACTTTTTGTCCATATTTCCTCCACCTATAACCATCATCGAGGATATCTACTTCGCTGGTAGTCTGTACAACAACTCTAGGCTCACGAATAGCTCTGGTAGCTCCACTCAACTCTGTAGCATATGATTCTAGTTTCCTGTGAAAATATGTCGTAGATTTCAATATGTTAGACAAATATTAATTTTTGAAAAAAAAAAAAAAAAAAAAGCAGCAGCAGCAATGACCAGTACCTTCTTTTAGATTCTGATTCATCTCCTTCCCCATCATAACCTAATGATACGCTACCATGAGTGCCTTGATCATCTTCATCTTCTTCATTAGAAAAAGTAGATGAGGCATCCACTGCATCTCCAGAATCAAAGTGAGTACCATTTTGATTCTTCAGATTGGGGGACTGGTTGCAGTATTCAGGGCCGACAGATGGTGATGATGTTGCTTCAAGGTTGTCATGCTTCCAATTAGCAGCTCCAGTCATGCTTCCCTTTTGTACATTAGCCCAGCCCAGGTCACCGTCAACGCCACTCTGTGGTTCAACATGCTCGAGATTGTCCACTTGCATGTCAGTAAGAGGGTTAACTGACCCCATGCCTGACCGGCGATTTGGAGGAGGTTTTGGATGGTTATGCGTTCCTTTATAAATGATCTCTGTTATGTGGCCCTCATGAGATCGTTCTACTTTCTTCTTAACCTGACAATTCGGATGTGTACACTTGTAGTAACTTCGGGGGTACTCACTACCCTTAACTTGCTTTTGGCCATATTTTCTCCAGTTATATCCATCTTCAGATGGTGCACCACCAACACCAGCAGCCACTGAGTCTCCATTGCCTCTTTGATCTCCCTCTTCATCTGCTTGTTCTTCAAGCGGTGTAGAATGTTCAATGTTACCACCAACAGTGTCAAAAGTCCTTTGATCAGCTGAGAACATCTTAATTCCATTATCTTTTTGAGGAGGTGATTCAATAAAGTCTGCCTGAAGATGGAGGCCACTTTTATTCTCAGTTTGAACTTTTACTGCATTGACACTTTGAGATTGAAATGAATTTTCCGATTGAACTGAAGCCTCAATACTAGAAAGGGATTGTTGAGGAAGTGTAGTTGGATTTAGCTGCAAACAGAAGGCAGACTAAATGACCAAAAAGAAGATATAGATCTACATATCATTGCCTCTACATAGTTTTCAACTCACTACAAATCTAATACTAAATGAATCAGAAAATATCTAAACTTGAATCATTAACATTATCTAATACTGTATGTCACTTGATGACTGTGTACAAATGGCATGTTAAGCTGATTGGAAAAGAAATTTTTCAAAAATAAAAAATAAAAAAATATCCAAGCATTTTCAGAATGTGCTTACTTTTCTTCCAGCACCATAATAAAAAGAGGAGCCTGAATCTGTTGCAGGCTTGAAAGCAAAGGATGATGCATAGATATCCTCAAAGCCATTATCTTTGCATTTTTCTGGAGCATCAGATGATAATTCTGAGCACCGGATGTTGCCATTTGACATGAATGGAAACTTTCCAGTTGTTGGAGATGGCTGTGCCTGAAATTAGAAGGATTCATAACTCAGTAGAAAGCATAACAATTTCAATAGAACCAAGTTTCAGTTTCCAACAACAGCATATTGACCACATTGGTGCCTCTAGCAGAAAGTAAAATGAAAAGTGATAACTTAGGACTCTGAAAATTACATTTGACACCAAGTGTAAGAGTATTAAAAGTGCCTCGTCACAAGGGATGCAGAGAATCATGCATCCAAGTGGTGTTTATAACTTCCAAGCTAGACAATGTCAGTAGCATGACAATATAACATCAACTCGAATTTGAAGCACAGATTCATACCAAACGGGGTCCTACCAGTTCGTTCAAAACTAAAGTATATACATACATTTTAGATATAACTATATATTCCATGTCCGAACACACCACCTACTGTTAAAAAAAAGTATATGGAATAGAAAAGGTCCACAATGGCATAGTTCAAAACTATGATGCCAGAAGAGAGACATCGTATTAACCAAAAAGCATGCCTTTAATGAAATAGAATTAAAGAAAAAGACCAAAAAAAAAATTAGGAAAAAAGTACAAGCAAGAACGTTCCAGAAGTGAAATCAAACAAGGTCACAGGAAAACTTGAGGTCACCTAATAAAACCCTTATTCAAAGTGAAGAAATAACCTCAGATGAATCCTCAGATTATCCAAATTACAACATTAAAATTACATAAAAGAATTAAATACACAGCCAAGCATAATGTTGTCTATTCTATCAGATGCATGTATCATGAGCATTAATGGTTTGCGCTTTGAGAAGCAGCATGCTAACATCTGCATCTAGGATCTATCCTATATCCCTTCCATTATTTCTGCCTTTTTCTTTCAGAGAGGGAGAGGCCATAGAAATCCATCAGAATTCTACATCAAGCAGCAGCCATCAAAGCATAAAAGAAATTTTACACAAGAAGGTCAAGCAACTTCACAGAATAAATAACAAATTTTGATAAACAAATAAACAAGCTAAAACATAAATGCACACCCCCACTATTTAAAACATAGAGCTCACCAGCGAATTTGCGAGGAACACAGGAGAATCTAGAAGTGTAGTAGGACTGAGTCCAGGTGGTATGGTCAAGTAAGGAGACTGAATGTCAGAATTAAGTGAAAGGTCAGTAGATCTAATGCTTTCTGTATTCAACCTTGGAGCATTAAACCCAGCTCTAGCAGCCATTCTTTCAACAAGGCCACCCCGTGAGCTCGACCTCTGCTCGGTCCGAAAACCCGAGTCAGTCAAATGGATACCAGAATCACCATCTTGTGCCCTATCTTTCATGTTTCCTTCCCCTGTCTCACCCGGATCATGAGTTCCCATAAAGAGATCACCAGTTCTATCACTTCCAGGAGGTTCTGAGATTGTTCTTGTTACATTATCTTCACCTAACATTTTAGAAAAAAGGGTTCTTGGACTCGGGCTAGGAAGATTCCAATCACCAGTAAGGGCAACATTATCATCAATACCAGCCATTCAAACCTCACTTTAGGAACACCTAAACTGCAAAGATCAAATTTTCTGAAAGAATTATAAATAATGCAAAAATACAGAAATCCCATTTCATCTCAAGAAATACAAAATCACATGCCAACCAAAAAAGAAGAAAAAAAAAACAGACAACCTCAACAAAAGGCGGACATGAATCATAGGACAATGCTTTTTAACCATAAAAATTTAAAAAATTTACACCCAAAATCATCATCAAAAAAAATCTTATGCTTTTTTTTTCTTGCAACAAGAAAACAATAAAAGTAAAAAATGGGACAAAAAGTATAAAACAGAAAAGATAAAAACACAGAACCCAGTTTACAAAATGCAACAAACAACATTGTCTTAAAATTGTCCAAATCACCAAATAAAAAATCTAAAAAAAAAAAAAAAAAATCAAAACCAAGAGACAGAATGATCAATGAGGTTACCTGAAAAATGATGAATTGTTGAGATGATTTAGAAAAGACAACCACAAAAGGAGCACCACCACCACAAGAACAAGAACAAGAACGGTTGAACCAGAGAACAGATCCGAGAACCCGAACCCGACCCAACCAGTTATTTGTGTTTTGTTAGTTCCCTGTCAATAATCTGAAGAGTGAATATGATCCAAACTTGTTTTCTCACCACCCTGCTACTGCTGCTCTAGCATGTATCTGAGTTTTGCAATAATTACCCCAAAATATGCACAAATGAAATGATTGTGTTGTTGAAGGAGGAAAAGGAGGAAGAAGAATAGTTACAAAAAGAGAACAGAATTTATAGTTCTTTTTAATAAATTAAAATAATCTTAACATTGTTAATTAATAAAAATTAATATATTATTACTATTTGTTTTTAAAGCAAAAGCAAAGGAAGGACTTTGTGGGAGAAGGTGGAAGAGAAAAGAAAGATGATTGTTGAATGGTGGTGGACCTGAATAAATGAAAAAGGAATCTTTGACACACATAAACATATCTCACCCTTTCCTCTATCTATCTTCAAATCTTTTTTCTTTCTTTTTTTTCATTCTATTTTTCATTTGTTCTGTTTGCATTTTTTTTTTTAAATAGTAACACCAGCAAATTCTTTGTAGCTTTTTCTTTTTGGAGTTATGTTGTAATAATAGGATAGATTATGGTTTTTGTTTTTGTTTTTGTTTTTGTAATTTAATAAAAAAAAATTTAAATGATGCTTATTTGTAATTGTAGTGTTTGTTTGTACTTCAAATTTAGGAGTTGGTACCATTTTTGTCACTTTCACTACAACAATCACAGCTGGCCTTGTAGTCATTAGTTGTGTGAATTGAGGAACCGTGTTGTTAGATAGAAGGGTCTTGGTTCTTAGAGGTGTTAATTAATAGAGATATTATTTATTTGGTTAATTAGACTTTTACTACTCTTAATTTAACATGACAACACCTTTTTGTATTATGTAAGATAAAGTGTGGTGATATGTCACTCTTTTTATCATTAATTTTGCTTGAATGAGAATGGCATAAAGCAAAAACAATATTCATGTTAATGTCAATGTGATATGAAGATTATAATATTATGAAAACTAAAATTAAAATGATTAAAATTTAAATTGTACAAAAAAAAAAAAACAAGTGTAATAATTAAACTACTTACTTCTTTGGTCTTCAAGGTGAAAGCACAAAATGCTTGATAGCCAAACACTTGGAACCCCTGAAATGAAAGTGCAGCTTGTAATCACCTATTATTACTCCTTTTGCACCTAATTCAAATCCCTTACAGCTTGGCGTATCAGTTAGTTTTTCACCCTGTGGTTGTCCACCATTTTATATCAAACACTTACTAATTTGGGTGAAAAAAAATCTTTAAAAAAGATTAATATGACTATCTATGATTCTTAGGGATAAGGGTGAACATTTTATATTTTTAAAAATTAATATACCTGTCTCAAAACTTTTCAAAATTAAATTTTGGGGTTTAATCTAATTTTGGCTTTACATCAAAATCAAAATGAAAAAAAAAAGGGGGGGGGGGGGGGGGAGGAGAAATGAATATGTAACTGTTCCACTTTTGATGTCATTTTTAGTCTTTGTTGGGTAATGTATGTCAGCGAAAATTAAGGTCGATTAGAAACCACTTGCCATGCAGAGGCATCTCTACTAAAGTGTTTGTCACATGTATCTTCTACTTCTAACAAGTAAAACATTTTTACAAGAATAATTTAAAATAGATTTATCTTTAAAGTGTGTATGTGAAAATGATGAAGAAAGCTTGTTAATCATGATAAAGACAAGTTAACATAGTGAAATATCCGGAGCTCTCTAAGACTACACCAAATACTGAACTGTAAATCATAATAACTCATAAATAATTCTATTTCAAATGACTTTTCAGACTTTAGAAAAATATGGATCGATGAGTCTTGAAATTGCAGTCTAACATCGATAAAACTATTAACAAAAAGGACAAACAGAGGAACCTTTTCAGAACATATATATCTAGAAGAGGAGAGTTACTAAGCTTCCTCACAAATATTTTAGTATTCATTACTAAGCTTTAATACGTATGGTTGTCTTTATTGAATTATTAATAGGAAAACACTTTTCCTTATATTTAAAACTTATATCTTTTCACACCTAGAATAGGTGACAATGTAAAAGTCTAAGTGGTTTGAAGTATGGACTTAGGATATACAACTCACTTAATGGTTGGTTATTGATATTTAAGCCAACTTAGAGGTGGGGAATAAATTTTCTAATGTGTCAATTTTTGGGGTGTAAATTGGTGATTTTTGTCGTACATACGGTGAAGAGAGGGTGTTGTGTGACTTATGGGGAGTAGGTGAAAGGGGAGTAAGCCTGATTGCAATAGTTATAGGATGTGCAACTCAATTAATGATTGACGGTTGAAACCTCAGCCGACTTAAAGTTGCTAGAATATAAGGAACCAAATCTCTAATGTGTCGATTTTGGGATGTATAGTGGTGGTTTTCACCGTGCATACAATGGAGAGAGAGGGTGGTGTGCGACTGTGAGGAGCTGGTAAAGAGCAAGTGAATCCAAGTTCAATTTGGCAAAGTAACGATGTGAAAAAGGGTAAAGGTTATTTCTGACGTGTACGGGCATGCATTATATAAGCTGTTGGAGTGCATATTTTGGAAAGTGTGAGGTGGAAGGTGATCCCACAGGTGTATCTGTGGTGCTATAGGACGTGGGGGAAATATCATGATAAAAGTGGTTATTTAGCTTGATTGTGAAGATATTTTGTGATAGTGATATTTTGTTTTATAGTGGGGGAATGAATATTGAGCCAGAGTTATGGATGGCCCAATGGTTCATTCCATAACATTAAAAATGAAAAAAAAAACTAAGTATGACAAATTATAATTGTAAAGTCTGAGTTATTAATATGAAGTGTTTTGTTACCAAAAAGAAGAACACAAATACAATTATAATATAGTAGGAACTATTATTATTTATATAAAATCTATTTCTTTTAATTCTTTTTGCATAATATAACTTATGAGCATGAGATAATCCTAATTCAATAATTATACTAATTTCAAAAAAATTATTATGTGGGATCACTTACTTACTACGAAGGTATAAAAGGTACAGTTGATATACCAAGGGTGAATCTTTTTTTTGGGGAGGGGGGGTATAATGCTCGGCCACTTGCAGGATCAATAACTGCCCCCAAAAACACACACGAGACTTTTCAGCGTGTTTTATCCTCACTTACATATTTCTTGAGAAACTTTTCAGGAGATCACTCATTCCAAAATTTCTCCAAGTCAAGGACGCTCAACTATGGACTTAGGAAGTGCAACTCACTTAATAATTGGTTATTGATATGTAAGCTGACTTAGAGGTGGGGAATAAATTATCTAATGAGTCAATTTTTGGGATGTAAATTGGTGATTTTTGTCGTATATATGGTGGAGAGAGGGTGGGGAGTAGGAGAAGGGGGAGTGAGCCTGATTGCAATAGTTTTAGGATGTGCAACCTAATGAAGGATTGCCTGCTGAAACTTAAGTCGACTTAAAGTTGCTGGTATAGAAGGAACCAAATCTCTAATGTGTCGATTTTGGGATGTATAGTGGTGGTTTTTATCATGTGTACAGTGGAGAGAGAGAGGGTGGTGTGTGACTATGAGGAGCTGGTAAAGGGCAAGTGAGTCCAAATGCAATTTAACAAAGTAACAATGTGCAAAAAGGTAAAGGTCATTTCCAACATGTACGGGCATGCCTTATATAAGCTGTTGGAGTGCATATTTTGGAAAGTGTGAGGCGGAAGGTGACCCCACAGGTGTGTCTATGGTGCTATATGATGTGGAGGAAATATCATGATAAAAGTGGTTATTTAACTTGATTGTGAAAATATTTTGTGATAATGATATTCTATAGTGGGGAATGAATATCGAGCCAAGAGTTATGGATGGCCCGATGGTTGATTCCATAACATTAAATATGAAAAAAAATAAGTATGAAAAATTATAATTGTAAAGTCTAAGTTATTAACGTGAAAGTGTTATGTTACCAAAGGACACAAATACAATTATATTATAATAGGATATATTATTATTTATATAAAATTTATCTTTTATTTTTTTCATAATATGACTTATGAGCATGAGATAATCCTAATTCAATAGTTATATTAATTTCAAAAAATTTATTATGTGGGATCACTTACTTACTACGAAGGTATAAAAGGTACACTTGATAGCAAGGGTGAATTTATTTTTTTGGGGGGAGGGGGTGGGGGTATGTATAGCTTTTCATAATCACATCAAACATTAAGTCACATTTATTGTCATTCTTTAGCTCATTCGGACGAATTTTTCTTATTTTATTTGGATTTTTTATTACAACAAATATTACACTTGTCCGGTGTGGCCCTTATTCAAGGATTATGATGGAAGGTTTTGTATCTTGATTTTGGATTTATCCAAAACATTTTCTATGCCTGGGACATTTAGTTTGTCGAGTCTCAATTATGATGATCTATTGTTTGGTTTTAACATGATCCCCTTTAAAGAGAGGACAACTGCGGCGCATAAGTTTTCTACCTTTGTTTGAAGACTCTCTGTATTTTCATCTTTCTTCTTCCTACTCCTTTGAGTAGTTTTTTCTAAGCCAGTTTTGTATTATTGAGAGATGGCCAACCTAGGGAGGAATGAGTCTGTTGGGAGTAGCAATAGCAATGAACCTCAAGGAGCAACTTCTAATGTTAGCATGTCAGTGCATTGCCTAGTGCCTCATGTCTTTCTACAATGGGTGGTTGATGAGCTCTAGGATCATCTATTTTTCTTATGCAAAAATGAGTGTAAAAATCTTAAAGCTTGACTAATATTCATTTTTTTAGGAATTTCGTGTATTTAGTTCATATTTGATAATTTCATTTAGGAATTATTGTTTTCTTAGGATTTTAATGAATTTCGGGTAATGTACTCTGAATTCTTCTTTTTTTCAAGAACAACGATTCTATGGTAGAAAAAATCATAGTTGCAATATGAAACCTACCTAATTGAATGTGCAACAACAAAGAGGTTCCATATCGTAAGCTTACGATTGATCGTGATGAAGAATTGTAGTATCTGAAAGTCTATAAATAGATCCTTAGGTCAAGAAAGGGAGTGGCAATAATGAAGGTCCCAATCTTACATCTTAGAGACTATGCAAGCTTAGTTTTCTTTGTACATCTATAGGAGTCTTAATGAATTTTAACATTAAAATGAAAACTTTCGAAATCTAAATAGAGCATCAAAAAATTCTATTGAAATATGGGGCACTAATGGAAGAGAGTATTGTTTTGTAATATTTATATAAGTTTTACAAGAAAGTTGGGATCTAGGAATCTCCTCCATAGTTCCTCGAATCTCTTATCCTTCTCTTCCATCACGTCTTTATATTTCTTTCATGTTAGGAGTAGATATAACCCAATTAACATTT